GAATTCTGGGAATTGAAGTCCACCCATCTTAAAGTTGCTGAGGTTGAGGAACCCTGCTCTAAGGCAGTGTTTTTCAACCCTCAGCCACTTTAAGACGCATGGACGTCATCTCCCAGAATCCCCCAGCCAGTTGCTGAGGTTGAGAAGCACCGCCTTAGAGGATCTCGATGCCAAGACTTCGCCTCCCTTCCTGCAAATACGTTTCAGGCTGTTTCTGACTCCCAAAGTCTACGAGGGACACAAACTGCAGTGACAAATGGGGCCCCAGTGAATTTTATTTCAAAATACTTTTTTTTTTTCTTTTCTCTTTGCAAAGGACCAAGAACATCAAAGGTCTGGAACTATTCTCCTGGGAAATGGGTGCAGGCAGGAAGGTGTTCAACAAGGTCATAAGAGATGGATCACATAGCAGGAGAAACTTGGTGGGGTCAGAAGAATTGACACAATTTTGAGTCTCTCGGAGAAGGCAAGAACTTTTGTGTCTCAACACCAAACCATGGAACGAAGCCAATTTGCACACTGCTACTACCATGTTTGGGGTTGGTGTAGTGATTAAAGGCACCAGGCTAGAAACTGGGAGGCCATGAGTTCTAGTCCTGCCAGGCACAAAGCCAGCTGGGTGACCTTGGGCCGGTCCCTCTCTCAGCCCTAGGAAGCAGGCAAGGGCAAACCACTTCCGAAAATCTTGCCAAGAAAACTCCAGGATCTTGTCCAGGCAGACTCCAGGAGCCAAGGCTGACTTAAAGCCACAAAATTAAACAACAATGTTGACGAGAGTTAAAAGCAAATCACAGGAGAGCCAAACGTCCCTTCCCAGCTCAAGCCACCCACTTTCTGTCTAAGCTACCGAGAAAGATTGTTGGGAATACCAGCCCAAACCCTTGGAGGAAGAAATGAATAAAAACTCAACCAACCAAAACACTGATATGCCATGAAATAAATCATGACTTAATTTGTGGGGTTCTTGTCTGCAAAACCCAATGAAAATTAAAGGGGCTCAAGAATGCCAAGAAATAGCTAAGATCTACTGATGGTTATTCAGTCTACACAGAACTGACAGCAGTCTAAGTAACAGGTACTGGGGTGAAACAATAAAACTGCTGGATGAAACCAGAGCTGTCAGTCTCAGCAGTTCAATTATCTGTCCCCATTTCCAGCCCAAAAATAAAGCTGCAGTTAAGTCACAGGGTTAGAGTTAGCCCTCTTTAGCCAAATAACTTCATTCCTGTTGGATCAGTACAGATTTAGTCAAGATGACTTGCAAAAATAATAATAATTAAAAAAAAATGGAAAACTCTAAGCCCTAAGGTCTCTTGTACAGCCCAACCAGGGGGAACAGGGATTAGCTGATTTAAACCAAAGGTACCTCTTTTTTGGAATGCAGCTCAGTGCAACACCCCTCAAAAGGCACACCTCTGGATTCTGATTTAACATCTGTTCTGACTTTTGATTGACATACACAAACATCCTTGAGGATCTTACCAATGTGGATTTCTTGCGATGGTAAGGCTGAATGATGGGTAGACCCAGGGGGGTCACCCACTCCACCGTCTGGCCAATCTTGGAAATCAGCCAGGCGCTTTCCGTCAGCCAGTTCTGCAAGACCAAAGGAAAGGGTGAACAAGATGGTTTGGAGCAGAGGGGTGTGGAAATGGGTTAGGAAAGGAACCATATTTGGAATTTGGGAGGGTGAGGAGCAGGAGCAGGAGCAGGAAGGCTTCCACAACCTGCTTTCTGCCTCTTCAGAGATGCCTACAACTTCCAGAATTCCCCAACCGGCACCCTGTTGGCTATGCGGGTTGAGAAATTTGAGAACTGTCCTCCAAACACAAAAACTGACATATATCAGGTAGAGAAGGCTGTATGTACTGTGAGGAAGTGAAAAAAAAAGTTAGGATGTGAGTCTTAGAGAGAGGAGATCAGCTGGTTGGACACAGGATTAGGTGAAAATCTGAGTGTGATCTGGAGCTCCAGGTAGTCAAAAGTTCAAAGGGGAGAGGGCAGTAAAAAAGTAAAGAGCAATTTATTCATAATTTGCCAGCTTTTGTTTAAGAAAAGATAGGAAAGCAGAAAATGTAGGGCGATAAGCCTCCTCCACCCACCCCTGATGGTACTACAGGCCTTGTACAAGCCCTAAAGTTGACTTAGCAAAGTTAAAGAAACAACCCCCCCCAGCAAAACAAACTCTGACTGCTTCGTATCATCACCCCACTACCGGGGCCCTTCTGCCCCACAATAAATGCAATCTCTGATCACCCAAAGATTGTCCACTCTTGCTAATAAGTTCTGCAAAGCCAAAGGATTTTGATTTATTGAATAAACCACCATTAAGCTATTAATAGTTTTAGCATGGCGTGACCCAGGCCAGAGAACAGGAGGCCAAAGGGGAAAAACGGGGGCAAGTTTTTGTGTACAGTCATGAGTTTACCTGAATTTCCCGAGACCCTGAGAACATTTCGGTAAGGCTTTTGAAGACTAGCCGGACAAGATACAGGGCTGCTTCCCAAACATCTGCCTGCAGGGAAGGAGGAAGATTCCATAAGAAACATAGACAGGCCGTCGCAAAACCTTGGTCTAATCTTTTAAAACCAACTGTTGGGCAATTTAAAAACACCCTCTCAAGGCCATCTACAGAAAACGAGATTAAACTCTTCAAACCTTCAGTAGCATATTCATCAAAGGAAGCAGATAAAAACAGGAAATAAAAAATGTTCAGAAAGCAACAAGGAGCGCATGGGGGTGTTCAGTTTGATATGCTCATTTGGGTAATGGATGTGGTGGTCAGAGGAATAAGCATGTTCTATCAACGTTCTAACCCACACAACTGACCGAATCAACTCACTCTGATGGGTGGGTTATTTTCATTCCCAAATAGCTCTGGAGCTATCTGGGGTCAAAATAACCAACCTTGGTCAGCCAAGTTGTCTGAATGGTTTACTATGGGTTGCGAGGAGGAGTTAAGGATCCCTTCTCCCTTCTGACACAGAGACATCATCCTAGAAGACCCTACAAAAATGAAGCCACTCTAGGCACTCCATCTCTCTTGCTTTAGCTTTTAACTTTCTCCATGGCCACTTTCTGGAGCGGGGGGGATGTATGGGACAAGCAAGGCCCCCCCCACCTCACAATCTGTTCCTGGTGGCTATAGTGTGAGGGACGTCTCCAGAAGTCACTGTTGCTCGAAAATCAGATCCTGATCTCGGCTGTGTCATTTAGGGTTAAAATTTCATCTGGAAGCCAATGCAAATTCCATCTTATGAGATGGAAATTGCAGATTCTGCAGTGATTGGAGGCCGGATATGCAAACTTTGGTACAAACAGTGAATGAAAGACGGGTGACCATGCTTTGTAAACAGTGATTGTAAAAGAGGAGCGTGGTGTTGGATCACAAAGTCTTTAGAGTCTATAACAGTGTTTCTCAATCTCAGC